TAAAAAAACAAACAAAAAAAAAAACACATCAATGAAACGGCGATAGGCTACCAATTTTGCAAAATGATTACTAAAAAAAATAATAATAATTTTACTCCCAGTATGCCATAAACAAATTGGTGTATCTAGGTTCGAACTTGGTACCCATCGTCGTTCCTCTGTTTTGAAAAAAATAAAAGAAATATGAGTCTTTAAAGCAGAAAATGGGTTCAAACATTTTAACCCATTTCCCCTATCCACTTGCATAGTTATAAGATTGGCTATGGGGTAATATCATAATAAGCACTATTGTTCACACCCACATTGTGTGATTTTATGTATTTTTAAGTGCAAAATTACCTAAATAATAGGCACTAATGCGTGATGTTATGCATGTTTTATGGTTGTAGTAAACACATAACTCATTAAAGGTTATTTTGTAACTATTTACTTCAGTGCTCCAATGTTTATAGGTTAGGTTTGTAAGGTATGACACAGTTTCTAACTCTGACCCTCCCTTCTGTTTCGCATTTATATTCATTACTAGGGGTTACCCCCCAATTCCAGTAGCAACCTAACACACTCACTCTGACTAAAATCAAAATAGTAAACACTTTTTATTAAACATGATTTTATATATATATATATATATATATATATATATTGGAATATTGTTTCATATAGAGATTTATAGCATTATGTACTCTTTATTCCCTGGTCCCGAGATCTGTGGACCCTTTGGAACACACATGCGTTCCAATTAGAGGTTCCAGGAAGGAGGGAAGAGAGCGCGGGTGCTTACCGAAGGGTCCATGGGAGGCCTGTATACCTACTCACACTACATGGTTTGATGCAAGTGAATTAATGGAACACATGGTGCGTTCCACAATGTCCGGAAGAGGACGTCACACAAGAGAGACACGGCGCAGGATAGTGGAACGCACGCTTGCGTTCCAGGAAGACGTATCACGTGATAGGATAACAGAACGCAGGTCTGCATTCCAGAAGATGGAGAAAGGCCCGGGAAATCTAATTTGGGACATATATAAGACACTAAAGAAGCTTAGACCTAACTATACACCAACTGAGGAAGCCTTCACTGGGCAAAAACATGTTTTGGTTATTGGACTATCTAGAAGGACTTAAATTTATTTACTCTTTGTTATTTTAAGGATCCTGAGGCGCGTCACACTAGAGCCAGGTGTCACTGTGGTTCTAGTCTTGTGAGTGTACTATACACAGATTATGTAAATTTACTGATTTATAAGGTTTATCTGCACTATTTGTGTTCAATATTTGTTTTTTTTACACAATCTGTATATCTTAACAGTGGGAAGTATATGTATTGTTAAGCTCCACCTATTTTCAGGGGCGGATCCAGAACCAAATCTCGGGAGGGGCACTTAAGTGGGCTAGAGCGGGGTGAAACAGGCTGCAGCGGAGGAATAGGGGACTCTTGTTTAGGGGATAGAGGCTGTACACATATGCGGCCACACACAGTGATATGGAAACACAATAACAGATACAGACACATACACTGGCACACCCACAGATACAAACCTATACCTACACAGGCACACACACACTGGCACATGGCACATAGATACACACATACCTACACATGCACACTGGCGAAACCGCACACACACATCCCTACACATACACAGAATGACACACATACCTTCACATACACAGATACAAGGTAATAGAATATACAGGCATAACTCCAGGTACTGAAGGTGTATTTATTGGAGGGTAGAACACGTTTCAGCCCTTGGGGGCCTTAATCATGTTTAAGTCCCTCTAGGGCTGAAAAGTTGCACTTTTATGTGGTGTTCTACCCTCGAATAAATACACCTTCGGTACCTGGTGTGTTGCCTGTATATTCTATTACCTTGTATTGTTGGACGGATTAGCAGTGTCTATCTATTCCAGAGCACCTTTGAGGCTGTAGACCAGAGTGAAAAGCGGAACCTGAGTGCAGTGGACGACGTTGTCTGTGGTACACACACACAGATACATACTCACAGATTCACACACTGACACTCTGATACACACAGATGTCCACATACCTAAACATACACACTGACACACACAGATGTCCACATACCTAAACATACGCACTGGCACACAGATGCACACATACACACTGACACACACAGATGTCCACATACCTAAACATACGCACTGGCACACAGATGCACACATACCTAAACATACACACTGACACACACAGATGTACACAGATGTACACATATCTAAACATACACACACAGATGTCCACATACCTAAACATACACACTGGCACACACAGATGTCCACATACATAAAACATACACACTGACACACACAGATGTCCACATACATAAACATACACACTGGCACACACAGATGTCCACATACATAAAACATACACACTGACACACACAGATGTCCACATACATAAAACATACACACTGACACACACAGATGTCCACATACATAAAACATACACACTGACACACACAGATGTCCACATATCTAAACATACACACTGACACACACACAAATTGCAGCTTCCATAATGTTAAGCACCCTCCCCTCTCCCCTCTGCTTAAATACCTTTTCTTTGCAGGAAGGTGACTTCCTGAGGCTGGCTGAGCCTGATGGGAGTCTGAAGCTGCAGAGCTCTCTCTCCTCCCTCCTCCTTCTCTTCCAGCTGCCTGCTGCCTGCTGCCTGCTGCCTGTGTCTTCTCTCCCAGCTGCATCCTGGGTGTTCTCAGCCCGCGCGGTCTGTATGCTGGGAGGAAGTAACAGTCACTTCCTCCCAGCACTCCCTGCAACTTTAAAGGGGCCCGGTCTGCCAAAGGGCTGCAGCACCCGACCGAGCCCCTAATGAGGTCCCTCAACTGATGGCAGCTGCACTATTTTCTCGGGGGGGGGCAATTGCCCCGTTGCCCCCCCCCTGGATCCGCCACTGCCTATTTTGTGTTTGTTGCTTGTTACCTGTAAGGTGTGAGCTCCCCCCAAATAGTACTAGGGACAGTAACATGTATATTGTTAGTAATACCGATTTGCATTCTTAAAGTTATAACGTTCCTTCCGTATTTGATATATACTATATTACATATCAAATGCATGACAAAAGACTACCTTTAAGCACAATTATTTTGAAAGGGAAACTATAGTGCTAGCCTCCATCAAGACCCCCCACTCACATGGTGCAGAAGCAGTTAAAAACCCTGTCACTTACCTGGGTCCACCTTCTCTCCTCCGCACTCTCATTACGATTTCACCATAGAAAAAACATTATTTGGGTGAAGCTTGGCATCCCAGCATGGTAGACAGGCACTAGAGGTGGACTTAACCCTAGCAGGTAATTATTAAAAACTTCAATAATTACCTGCTCAGGGTTAAGGGACCTGGGACACTGCACCCAGACCACTTCGATCTTTGTAACAACGCATCATACAGTTGTGACACAGTTGTGACTTTGCCACAATGTTTCTCTTCATCAGTTCAACTATGACTTACCATCATAGCAAATGTATGAAACTTTGCTATTCTTTGTATATAACCTAAATTGTTTCTAGCAACTCAATTTCAAAAACAAATCTCAGCTAAATAGTCACGTATTGATATATATATATTTTTTTCTTTTTTTAATGTAAATTAATTTGAACATTCAGTGAAGTGATATTTTACCCATATCCACTGTCTGCATCATTTAGTACTCACTGTCCGGGGGACCATTGTAAGGTAATATGGAGCACTCCCTTTGTATTTAGTAGAGATCGTATACCTAAGAATGAGAGCATTCTGTCCTCTATAGCTCTTTCAGTTGCTTGAAACTGACACCAGGGATGGTGCTCCCATGTCTACTGCAGCAGTTGCTTTTCTTTTGTGCTTTTAGAATAGTGGGGGAGAAAGAAAGACTGGAAAGTGCAAGATCTTCATAATGAGCCTAATAATTTCTATCTGTGCAGAAATTTCATTGGCCTTTATTAACTCATAAACAGCAGAAAGCTTTTTGAGGGATGTATGTTGTGGAACCCTACTGTGATCAAACACAGGAAATAATTAAGCCGTGCTTCTACGGTGCACGTAAATGGAGCCACATCTCGGGCCTAATATCTGACAGAGAACAAGCAGAGTACGCTCCAGGCTTTTCATCAAATTCCCAGAGACGCAGAACAAGTAATATAATCTGGCCTTAGTGACAGAGCTGGTGTGCTGCTGATGGATTAGCTCCCAACTTATAAAGTAATCGCACAATACTTTCTCTGCACTAATCAGTTGTGTCAGTTTCAGTATGCCTAACACCATAAAAATTAAATAATGACTTCTCCCTTGTACCGTCTGGTATAGTTTTGCTCCATCTATGCGCATCTGTACAGCAAAGTCCGCAGGGAATACCTTATCATGTATGTTTAACAGATTTTTAAAAACAGTGCCAGCCGCTTAAGTTAAAAAAAGTATCTTACTTATAAAGCCACTTAACACATCTAAAAGAGCAATGCTAGCCAGCTAATCCAAACATGCAAAGAAGATATTGTTTTACCCAAATCAGACTTCAATGTGCGGAGTTAGTTTTAAAAACAAACAAAAAACACTTAAGTCTGAAAAATGCACAATTTTGAAACTGAAAAGGCAGAAACTATCCTCATAAAATTCTCATCCTGAATGTATAAAAGCAATAAAATAAGTTGGTTCTCAAGAAAGAAATACACCTACCTCCATTAAGCTTGAATGTATTCCAATGAGGTAGGGCATGGGGGCACTGCCAAAAGAGCAAAACAACATATGAGATTTGAAATACACAATTTGCTTTATGGAAGAAAATCTTATAACACAGAATAATAACATTGTCATCAAAAATAGCATATGCAACCTCAGAACGTATAAGGTTAAAAACAAGACATGTTATATGCATATTCATTTCTTTCCATGTGAAAAAATAAATAAAATATATATATCCAAAAAAGGCACTCCTCCTTCATTGAAATACTTCTGTATAAGTGCCCAGGTGCAATCCCGCGTAATGTATATAAGAAAGGAGAATCCAGGGAGCACACTGGGTCTTCAATATAGTGAAGCAAAGTTATTTAATGTATTATAAAAAACACATAAGCTTATGTATTTTTATAATACATTAAATAACTTTGCTTCACTATATTGAAGACCCAGTGTGCTCCCTGGATTTTTTTTTTCTCTCTCTCTCTCTCTCTCTCTCTCTCTATATATATATATATATATATATATATATATATATATATATATATATATATATATATATATATATACACACACACAACCCAAATATTTTAGATTAATATCATAAAACCATAATAACAATAAGACAGAAACTAATTATTATTATTGATAATAAGAGCAACATGTATGGAAACTCTTGCTGTACTAGAATTATTTTCACTGAAACAACAAGTGTTAATTTCTTGAGTACACATTATTTAATTTATTTTAAAGACAGGTTTAATAATAATAATAATAAAAAAAAGATCTCTAAGCTTTACCGTTTACAGACACAATGTGCCTTTGAGCCAGTGGCGTACTAAGGGGGGGGCGGTCCGCCCCGGGTGCCAGCCGGGTGGGGGGTGCCATGGCCAGCCCCCCCGCCCCCCCCCCATGCTGCAGCCGCCCGAGCGCTCTGTAGAGAGCCTCAGGCGGCTGCAGCTTTGCCCGGGCGGTGCGTCCATGAGGGCGGACCGCACCGCCCGGGCGCAGCATGGGGAGAGGCTGACAGGAGGGAGCGCTCCTGTCAGCTCCCTCACTGCAGCATGGTCCGACGGGTACAGAGAGCAGCTGTCTCCTGTACCCGGCCGGACTAACAGGAAGTGCACACTGAGTGTGCACTTCCTGTTACTCCGGCCGGGTACAGGAAACAAAAGCTCCCTGTACCCGCCGGCTATACTGGGCTCGGCCACGCTACAGGGAGGTAGGGGGGGTGAGAGAGGGGTGAGAAAGAAATAAGGGGGGGGTGAGAGAGGGGTGAGAAAAA